CTTGCTTTTGTGGTCATTTGCCTCCTCCTACCTTCTGTGTACTATCCTCCCTCCCATTGCAAGCATCAATTAAGCCCAGCAAAGCAAGTTTTCTCTTCTGTTTTATGACAACCTGTTCATCAATTCCAAATCCACCTTCTTTCCACTCCCTCCATAATCTTTGTGCGTGCTCCGGACAATGACTGAAGTGCTTAGAATCATGACACATTTTATATGTGTGTGTGTGTGTGTATGTGGTTTTTATAACCACAATGGTCAGCTTCAACCAGGCTGGCAGGGAAAAGGCAATGCAGAATGTCAAGACCCCTGTGCCCCCCCGTGTATTCAAGTTCCTGGGCACCCCACACCCCATTTCTTCAGCTTCACCAACTCAATTTCTGTGAAATGGATATTCTGATGGAGCAGAAAGCTCTTGAGTTCAAAGCATTGTTTTCTGCATTGAGGTCTCAAAGCACACCTCTGTTTTGTACTCAGGTTTGAGGAGGGGAGTAATTATTTGTCTTTCAGCCTCCCCATTTGATTTCCAAGTAATGGGCATTTTGTCACTTGGCTCACCCTCCACACCAGCCACTTTACTAAAGCACCCATGGCACATTTTCAATATTTCAAATAGTCCCATCAGGTAAGAAAAAGCAGGAAAAGGGGGATCCCTCATCTTGCAGATGCTGCTTTTTAAAAGCACAGGAACAGAATTTTTTTTTTTTAAAAAAAGCCTTGACTACCATATGTACATGATTCTATACATTTAAAAAAAGGAGGCAAATAATATATTACAAAAAACATGTCATTCCAGCTGAAATATGATTCTGGATGGCCTTTGCATCAGGATACAAAACCATTCCTCCAAACACATTTTTATTAGAGCCCCATTAAATGCCCCAGAGTAAAAGACACACCCTCCAAGGCCGTGGTGTGAGGGTGTCTGTATGTCTCCTGACTCCAGTGACAAGAGGACAAGGAAAGCTGATTTAAAAATGATTTTACATGTATGGACGCATTAGTTTAAAAAAACAAAATTATGAGGCAAAACTACTTTACAGATTGGGCAGATATTGGTTTGTTTTCTTGAGAATGGTGATAATTTTTCTAACTGTCCACACAGTTGGTTTTTAAAGCCTTGAACATCTAGATGATGTAGAGCAATTAATAATAAAGCAGCTCAGCCAAAGGAGTCAGCAAAAGCAGTTTTAAATAAAACATCCAGTAGCCAATCTATCCCTACTTAAAAAGCAAACACCATCTTTCCGGGAACATGAAAGGGCAATATTAAATATATCCAATATTCCTTTCCTGCCCTTTACTTGTTGAGTAGCTGAATTCTAGTGCTGACTGGTATTTTGAAGAAAGTGGTATGCAGGGACGGAAAGCTCCTGGCTATTCCCCATTGACTTACATGCTGGAAGAAGAAAAACAAGAACAAGAAGCATGAAATTAATTATAACCACCCACCTGAAGGTTTTTTTTTAAGTTGAGCATAGTTTGCTAGACTTAGAAGGAATGGTTGTTGAGTCAGTGTGAGTAGCTAAAGATATTGCACATGTTTGCTTTACTTTAAGTCTTTGAGAGCAGCAAACTCATGAAACAGCTTTGTAGCAGACCCTGTCACTATTCAACATTATTCAGTGACTGCAGTCCAGGACAATTGACTTTATACATATCCTTCATCCCCTTCAATCACAGAGTTTAAAAGTCCCACTCTTAAGCAAGCCATTGTATGCTGAAATCTGATCAATACAAGCTCCCTTATAGTGATTAACTGGCTGACAACACCCACCCCCGGGACATTTTCCAAAAAGTAGTCATAGGTGGCTTGTGATCTGCTACAAAAAACATGGGGGGGAGAGTTGCACCCCTAGACCACAAGTTGCCCTAAAAGCAAACACTACCAAAAGTAGGATTTATTCTTCTTCCACACATACCTCAAAGTATATAAATATATATATATATATTCACTTCTAGTTGTCTCTTGGATATGTCCTGCAACCAGTGACACTCATGGAATGCACATACCTTCACCTTTAACACCAGGTTGATCAGCAAGCAATAGGATGTGATGATGTTTATCCCTGTTCTTCCCATTAAAAGCTCCCCTTGAGTAGTTAGTCCCTTGATGCTGACATACGTACTAGCTTCTTGGCAATTCTGACAGGAACAGAGGACCGTCCTGTCCCTCATAGCCAAGGATGTATAGATTCCATGGTTCCATGCAAAAAAAGAGAGGGGGAGGGCAGCGCAATGTGATGTTGGCCAAAAAAGAAGGGCAGCACAAGGGATTTTGCTGCCTGAAGCAGAACAGTAAATGTGCTCATTCCCATAAGGGTCTGTAACGCCCTAAGCCAGCAAAGTTATTCTGCCCCATGAGGAAGAAAATCCCCTCAGACACCTCTTTCAATTCCTGTCATTATTTAAAAAAAAAAAGAAGTAACAAAGTAAATAAACATTTATGTTTAGCCCTTTCCTGACACTTGAAATCTGCTGACTGAGGTATCTGTGTCACTGCCTAATAGAAAGGATATTAGGCAGATCTGGTGCAGACTTTGGGTTCAGTTACAGCTCCAAAATTCACTGTCAGACAAAAGGGTATAACTAGCACTTCCCATTGCTGTTTTTATGTGTCATCTGACTGCTTCCTATTTATGAAATGCCTTAATGGGGTTTTTTGAGGTAAGTGAGATGTTCAGTGGGTTGTCTACCATTGCTGCCACCCCCATGAATTTCTATAACCAGGCCAAGATCTGAATCCAGCTCAAACGAGCTCTAGTCCAACACTTTCATCAACCATACCACTTTGACGCACAATCCCCCATAGACACAAAACATATTATGCCTGTTTATAGAAACTTTAGACTGTTTGGAGGAAATACTATATCTGTTCAGCAATATTCCATTTTAGGTGGGGTGTAAATATTGATGCAGACTAAGTGGGAACAAAAACAAAACAAAACTGGACATGGGCCTGAGAAGCTACTAGTCTAGTGGGATGGCTTTACTCCACTTCCTCCCTCACCCTGTTAACCTATACAGCAGGAATTACAAACAAGCTACAGTATCTCCAGAGTGACTGCTATTGTAATAACTGTACAAATGACTGAAATTCTACAAAGAGAACTGGACTTCTCTGTGATGAAAGCTCACAGCGGTTGAACTGGAATTGTGATACAACTGCTAAAGGCAAAGAGCTTTTGAACGAAAGCTAAAGATGGGCACATTTCCTTCTCCCTAAGAATGTAAGAAAAGAAGAGGCATGTTGACTGAAGAAATAAAGTTCCCATGAGTTCAGCATAGCTCTCCAAATGTGGCAGCCAGATGCTTCTAGGAGACTCATGGCATCAAGGAAAGAGGGATTCCCTATCAGCAACTAAGACTGAGAAGCAAACATTTCAATTTGTATTTATTTAGATACTTACATATGGATTATGCTTTTCCTCCACAGAGCTCAACATATCATGTGTGGGTTTTTTTTTTCCTCATCCCCACTTCATCCTCTGAATAATCCTGCAAGGTAGGTCAGTCTGAGAGAATTTGGCAGGCCAAAATTCAGGTGACAACGTTTACAGATCAGTACAGGCTTGGATCACATTTTTCCCAGACTCATTCCAATATTATCACCACTATACCACACTAATCATTGATTTATCCCTCCTAGTTGTCACAATTGGTGTGCAGTCCTACAAATGTCCACCTAGAGGTAAGTCCCACTGAGTCAAGTGGGGCTTATTCCAGGCAAAGGGATGTGGGATTCCAGTGTTATAGTAGGATCCCATGCCTCCCTACTTCAAAGTAAGTGTCATTTTTTTCCAGTGCAGTCACCTACCTTACATGTTTAGGACTGCAGCCCTGCTTTTTTTTAAGGCAATGCCTGCCAATAAGTACGGCAAGGTGGTGGTGCATGTGGGTTAAACCGCAGAAGCCTCTGTGCTGCAAGGTCAGAAGACCAGCAGTCGTAAGATCGAATCCACGTGATGGAGTGAGCTCTCATCGCTTGTCCCTGCTCCTGCCAACCTAGCTGTTTGAAAACATGTAGAAATGTGAGTAGATAAACAGGTACCACCACAGTGGGAAGGTAATGGCATTCCATGTCTAGTCGCGCTGGCCACGTGACCACGGAAACTGTCTACAGACAAAAATGCTGGCTCTGTGGCTTGGAAACAGGGATGAGCACCCTGCCCTAGAGTTGGACATGACTGGACTAAATGTCAAGGGGAACCTTTACCTTTACCTTTACCTTAGCTGCCAATAAACCTAGTGGCAGTGAATGACACCATTTATTTCAATTAATTTTTTGGAAAAAATATTTATACAACACGCTCTGATTTAATACCACTGCAACATCTGGCCATATCTTTCTACTGTCCTGCTACTTCACCTCTTCCTATTTTTTATAGACCATCCAGCCCAATAAGGTGTTCAGGAGAACTCCGAACTTGGCCACTTCCGCAAAATGTTTAGTCCTAATAAAGATATTTCCCGCCCGTGGATGTTGGTCATTTTTTGCCCTCAGTGCTTTTAAAAAGGGAGGAAGGAAAACAGCACCCCTTTTTTCTGCAGTCCACCCACCGGATAAAATTTTAAACCGCCACCAAGCCCCTCACTCTGCGTCCATCTCATTTAAGAAGCCCCCCCCCCAAGTTTCTTTTTCCTTGTCGGGAAGGCGCTCTGACTCTTGGATCGCTCAGGTTATCCTTCAGCGCCTCTCGCTCGATTATTAAGCGACCAACGCGCAAAACCACCTCATCTCCGGGGCTTGCGGAATGCAAGGAGCCCCCTTTTTTTTTTTACATGCAGCGGGCATGCGAAAACGCTTTCCTCCCTTCAGCGCTAATTGGTGCAGCTGTCACCGTTCGCGCGCTGCCCGGGTCAGCGTTCCAACGGCAGCCCGAGGCGAGGGAGGGAGGGAGGGGGGCGGGAATCAGCTGCGCGCCAACACCCCCTCCCCGCGCGCGCACACACACACCCCCTTCCACGAGCCCGGGATAGCGCGCGTGCGCGTCCCCCAGGGTCCGAGGAGGCGGGCAGGCGGGCGGGCGCGAAGTGGGCTGCCGGCTGCTCTCTCGCTCGCCGCTGGATCTACCCCGGGAAGAGAACATGTTGTGAGGGATGCCCAGCTGAGCAGCAGCTGGCCAGGTGAGAGGAAAGGAAGGTTGGTCGCCCCCCCCGGGCGAATCCGGGGGGGCTTGCGTACTTCTCCCCCCTTTTGGAAGAAAGCGCGCCGAGCGTGCGAGGCACGCGGGAGGCGGAACCGGTCCTGGGCTCGTCCGTCTACTAATGGCCAGGTGTGCGTGGAAAAGTGGGCACGCGTGGGCACCACTGGCGTGGCCCCGGGTGAGGAAGAACAACCTTCCCAGAGGACGTATTCGAGGGAGGGGGGAAAGGATGCGCCCCTCTGCCTGTCAAACCCCGGTGTCTGTCAATCGGCCCTCTTGTCTGCCCCTCCTCTCCATTCAATTTCTTTCTCTCTCTCCTTTCGCCTTATTCCCCCCCTTTCCCCCCTTTTTCCTCTTATTTTTTTCTTCTCGAATTTTATGCTCTTAATGTCTACTCTTATTTGCTTTCGATTGCATTTCTTCGTTGTCCGTGTACCGATTCATTTTATGGCTTCTCCCTCATTCCACTTTTAAAATACCTCTCTAACCCGGCTATCCTCCCGGTCACCTTTCCTTCACCACCACCCCCGCCCCGCTTCCCATGAACCTAAGACAAGCAAAGGGGACTTCTGAAAACGCCCCATCTGATCCTCTTTTGGAGCTGAATGGGGTTGCGCTTGCCCTCTCTGGGTTTGTCTTTCCTGTCGTTAATTTTATTTATTTTGTTATTAACAAGGTACTACTGTGCTGCTGATCAACAGTTACAGATGCAGATTCTCTGTGAACCAAAAGATGTGTGTGTTCAGGCAAGTGGAATGTCCTTTATAGAGAGCCCAGAGGGATGGCTGAACTAAGTTTTTATTAGGAATGTTTCCTTCTGTATTTGTTACCCTACAGTGGGCTATTTTCTGTACAGAGATATTTTTTTCAAGGTGTGAGTGTGGTTCTAAGGGATTTCAGGTCTGAAATATAGACACTGGGTAGGCTGGTGAATGGCTTGGTTGAAGCCAAATAGAAGGGTATCCGTAGAGTCTTTTGGTGTTTGTCCTGAGTAGGGTTCATACAAGATAGGTTCTGAAAGATTTATATAGGACTTAACATGATAAATTGTCTGAACTTTAAGTTTTCAGTTTTAATTTTAAGCATTTAATATAGATTGGAAATCTATTTAGCATATATCCAAATAGGGTATACAGTAGTTTCATCAGCATTCCAACGGCAATTTCATCTGTGTGCACGCACGCATGGATGCACGCATGTGCACGCACACATGTACACGTGATTTATAAAAGATAGTTGGTGTAGAAGTATGCAAGAATTTGACTTAAACTCAGTTTACAGTGTGGTGGTCAAAAAGGCAAATAAAATTTCATAGTGCCCCAACTTCTGTTGATACATGATTGTGGAGTCCTTTGAGTTACATAGATACTTTTAGTGCCAATAATGTGGATGAAATAATGTTATTTGTCATTGCTTTTTCTCCCTTTGACTTGTAGATGCATGTAACATAAACTTTCAGATTACTCTAGTCACAGGCAGTAGCTTTGCAGAACTCCTATCCAGCTACAGAAACTCTTTCTGTTTGATTTTTTTAACTGAAAGACCCTGTGGAATTCTGTGCTACAAGAAGCTGGCTCAATAACACATATCTACTCGCCTATTTTGACAAAGTGGGCTACCTTGTAAACAATTTTGTACAACTGAAAAGGCTGAATATCAATGAAAAGACCACAATTCAATAGAAATGGATGAAGAGATTTTAATAGTGTCATAGTGTCAGAATTTTGAAGTAGGCAAACTTAGCACAGCAGCATCTTTTATACAATCAAGTCTTCTCAGTATTGAACTATGCATACTTTGGCACTCATTAGGCACTGAACATAGTTCTTCATTAGCTTGATGGACAATTCCTTATTTTTGAGCCCTTTTTGTGGCTTCATCTAATTCAACCCAATGAAGAATTTTGTGATTTCAGAAGCTTTCATGTTAGACACAATTCTGCATCAGCCAGATGTACTAGTTCTGCATAACTTTTGCCTAAAGGAGAATCCAGTGTCAGAAAAGCTTATTTATTCACACCTCAACAAAATCCAGTCCAATTTAAGTTATTGGTGGACAGACACTATATTGCTTGGAGCCAACTCAGTAACAATTATTTCACATCAATAACAGCTTGTAAGCAACTGTGGCAAAGTGTCATCTTTTGTGCGTAAAAATTTCTGATACTACCCAAAGCTCCTTCCCTTCTCATTGTTTTCTTAATTTGGGTAGTATTCTCTAGTTGATAAATCTCCACTATGTGTAATTCTTTTAGGACCATTTCTAAGAGAAGCTGGGGGAGTGTCTTTCTCTCTCAAGGGCACCAGTGGGGTGAATTGTTAATAGCACAGTACTAGAATCTGGTGCAGATAGAGATTGCTACACCGCAAGGCTTTGACACATTTATTAACCTTCCAAAAAAGCTTGTCCTTGGTTGGGAATGGCAGGAGGCCTGTACATAGGAGATAAATTCCCATTTCATTCAAAAGTGTCTTAAAACGACAGATAGCCCCGTTGGATCAAATCAAAGGCCCATCGCAAAGAAGATTCCCCTCCTGAAAAACTCCCCTATCGCAAACCTGCTAGGGGTGCTCCTAAAAAGGAGCAATTCACAACTGGAGATGTTGTTGGAATATTAAGGAGAAAATATGTCTATACAAACTGCAACTGCTACCTGAGGTAAAGCATGTTTAAAATGTCCTTATGATACCAAATCAGATGTGAAATATAAGGAAATAGATAGAATATCTCTGAACACTTTCTTCAATCTTGGACTTGTCTGGTTTTAAAAAAAAATCAAAGGGCAAATTGGAGCAATAGCTTGACAAATGAGATTAAATCTCTCAGGAATTAAATCAAGCCTGGATGTCCCCTTTCTAGTACAAAATGTAGCAGTTTTGTATGATGTGTTTAGTGCTCCAGTATTGAGCACACTTTCTACTTTTGTTAACCCATGTTATCCTCTACCATACTGTACCTGAATTCCATCTCTTGCTATACCTGCTGTTGCCGTAGGACATCAGTTCATCTAATGGAGGAAATTGTTTTTTGAGGAGTTCCTGCCACAATAATCACTTTCAATCTAAGCCAGTGTTTCTTAGAACTTTTTTTTTACCAATAAGGCTTTCCCACTCTTTTTTGGGGCATGGGAGATGATATTCTTATAGCCAGAAGGTTTTACTTTTAATGTGCAAATGCAAAACAGCTACCCTGCCTTAGAGACAAGCACCTGATATGTGCCTGGGTGACTTAGCAAGCTTGTTACTTGGAAAGGATCTTTCTAGAACACTGATTCATGCAGAGAAGCAACAGGTGACCTCCTTTGAGGGCCAGTAATTTGGCTGCATCTCTGCAGTTGGAGTGATTGACTGAAGGGACTAAATTACTTGCCTGCAGTGGAGGTTGATTGGGAAGAAGCAAGGCCACAGCAGTTAGTCATGCAGAAGGCAGCCTATTCTGTTGGTAGAGACAACAAAGGACTGTGGCACCTTACAGACAGACAGGTTTATCAACAGCACCAGTTTTTGTGGACTATATCCCACTTGATCAAATGTGTCATATATTGGTACAGACTGAGCTTTAATTGTGGGGGATGTTCTTTTAGCTCAAGAGCTGAATTCCATTTCAGAGATATTGTCAGGGTGCACATACGAATGATGAGAGGGGGCAAATGTAGAAGGATGGGGCCAACAATGCCAGTATATTTTAGCTTGAAGCTCTCAGGAGAAGCATTCCAACCTTGTATAATGGGCCAGAGGTGGCCGTGGCTGCATAGAAGCTGGGAAGCCATCAAATGGTGGTGTCATGGGGAAGGCGATGTGGCCACTGGAGAACCACAAGGGACTAGTTTGGGATGCCAGAAGTGCCAGAATTGACTACACATCGCTGAGGCTTCTCAATCCTGGATTGTGGCCTGGTTTGTACATGCTGGAGCTCCTGCTTGCGCCCATTCAATATGTGAATCAGAACCAGTGCAGGTGTTCCCCCCAATACACACACAGTACCAGTCTCCACAATGTCATTGGATACTTTAATACCTGGAATAAAAACCAAAGTGATTTTACTTTATTTTGCTCCCTTGCATAAATGTTTTTTAATATATCAAAGGTAACAAAGAGATGGGAAATAAGGGCAAGAAAACACTATTTCCTCATGGAAAATATTGGTGCAGTGACTGCTTTGTGGTAATTTTTTTTGCATGATGCTTAAAATAGAGGGTTAGTGACAGTAAGTAGGAAATAATCTGACACACACATACACACATCCCACATAATCTATCACCAGAGACCTTTTTTCATGGAGGTAGTTGTGTTCGTCTGCTCAGAGCCCTTACTAGCAATTTTGATGCCTGGGACCTGGTTACCCTATTGGTCAAGCTTAAGTCACATGTAATGGGCATATGTATGGACATGATAGAAGAATGGGGAGAAATACCTGGGTCTGAGCACGTGATGATCGTATTGGTTCTAGGATGAGCCAGCCCGCTTTGTATTTTATTCTCCTTGGGAAGGAGTGGCTGGTGGCAGCATACACACTTGAAACATGTGAACCCTTCCAACAGAGAATACGAATAGGCACTGGCATACTCTTCCAGCAACAAATGTTTGCACAACCTAAATCTGGGGGAGGTGAGTCAAAGCTCTGGCCTTTCCACCTTTATTAGAGCTCTGGGTCTGTTGTAAAAAAATAGAATAAGATTTAAAAAACAGTGAAGAGAGAGAGAGAGAGGCATCGTAACGGTCAAAAGCCACCAGATTTCCAAAGTGAGCTAAAAAGTGGGAAAGACAATAGGTGTGTTTCTGTGTGTAATGGGTCATGTTTTTGCTTGCTCTGGGGATAAAATTTTAAAGAAATTTTAGAGACATTAGCAGAGGTTTTATGTCATTCTCTCAACCTATGTTTTTTCCCTAAGCAACAAAAAGCAGCAAGCAACAGGATGAATTACTAATTTTTTAATTATATCACAATAATGGCAACAGATTACTTTTGGCGGATCTGTAA